TGTGGGAAATTGTAACTGCAAATTTAATTGCTTTAAAATACAGTGTTATTTAGGATATGTATTTTTTTCATGATTGAGCTTTGGCAAATAGGTTAATTTTGAGATGCTTCTACAATATATATCAGCTATTAAATTGCTGGCAATACTTTTTTATCATTTTAATATTGAGGGAGTTGCAGTGTTTTTCCCTTTTAAAATTCTAATTGGTCATCTGTGTCTTCCCTTTGTTTTTTCTTATCAGTTTGGCTAGACGTTTATAAATTTAATTGAACTTAGAGTAATTTGGGGCTTCTTTGATTATCTGTTGGTTTTATTGTTGTCATTTTCATTTATTCTTTTTTTTAAATTTGTTTTTATTTCATGAAATTACGGGAGTACAAACATGTTGGTTACATATTATGACTTTGCCACATGCCAACCATGATTTGAGATGTGTTCTTTAGCCCCCTACAATGCTCACCGCATCCATTAGTTGTGAGTTTACCCATGCCCAACCCCCACACTCCCAAAGAATATTACTACTGTGTGAGCACGTTAGTGTTGATCAGTCAGTGCCAGTTTGATGGTGAGTACATGTGGTGCCTATTTTTCCATTCTTGTGATACCTCACTTCTGAGGATGAGCTCAAGCTCTATCCAGGAAAATATAAGAGGCACTAAATCACCATCATTTTTTATAATTGAGTAGTATTCCATTGTATACATACCACATTTTATTAATCCACTCATGGCTTGACAGACACTTAGTAAGACTGGCCTTTATCAAAAAATCCCAAAGCAACAAATGCTGGCAAGGATGCGAGAAATAGGAACACTCTTACACTGTTGGTGGGACTGCAACTTAGTGCAACCTTTGTGGAAAAGAATTTGGAGATACCTCAAAGAGCTACAAGTTTTCATTTATTCTTGCCATCATCATTGTTAGTTCCTTCCTTCTGCTTATTTTGGATATTTTTTTTCAATTTTTTGAGAACTTTCTCACTATAAAAGCTATAAACTTCCCTTTCAAACTACTATACCTGCATCCTACAAAATTTAAAATGTTATGCATTCATTTTTATTCAATTGTATTGCATTTTCCTTTTCATTTCTTTATTAACCAGCAGATTATTTAGTAATATAGTGTTTAATTTTTAAATATTTGATTTTCAGATATTGTTTCTAGTTTAATTTTACTGGATTCAGGTAGTATACTTTACATAATCTTTTTAAATTTATTTTAAACTTTTGAATACTTTTATTGCTTGGAATAGGTGTTTATTGTATTTGAACTTGAAGATAATGTATACCTGCTTGAAGCTCTGACTCAAGGGAGGAGGGAGGGCAAGGGCAATATATGTAACCTTAACATTTGTACCCCCATAATATACTGAAAAATAAAAGAAAAAAAAAAAGAAAAGAATGTGTACTTGCTGCTGTGTGGTGTAATAGCCTATAAATATCAATTTATTTAGTTAAGTGTTGTGTTATTGAATTCTATTATAGTCTACTGATTTTCTACTAGCTCTCTGAATTACTCAGAAATAAGAGCTGAAAATTTAATTTTTAAGAATAATTTCAAGGTTTATTGAGATTTAATTGACAAATAAAGTACTATTATTTTAACATATATAATGTGATGATTTGATATATACATTTTGTGAAATGATTACCACTATTAAGTTAGATAACACATCTACTACCTCATCTAGTTACCCTTTTTGTTTTGTTTTGTATTGTATTTAGAATATTTAAACAAATTTCAAGTATACAATTTAGTACAAAATGTAACTTTTTAATGGATGAGGACAACATAGATTTTATATTGTTAGATGCTGCATTTTGTTGTATTCCTTTAAAAAGTGTTTGATTTCACTCTGAAATAAGGAATCTATTATATTTTTAGAGTCTTGATCTTAAGGCTTGCTATGGCAAATGCAGAGCACCCTTTAATTTAGGACTAATTTAATTCCATTACTTATGCATTATCATTTTAAATCTCTTCTTATGTCTCTTACACCTTTCCTCTCTGGCTGGTGGGAAGAAAAACCATTTCTAGCCTTCTGTGAACTCTGATAACAGTTTGGCCTACTATTTTCCACTATTTTTTCTTTTATAATCTCAGATGAACTCATGCTTTCTCTAATAAATGTCCAGAGAAGTATGAAGCCAAAGGTTAAAGTGGATCCTTCTGTATATGTTTAGATATCTCTCTCTTCCTCTTTCTATACATATTTTTTAGTCTTATACTACAAAATACAGCAACCTTGGCCTTCCCAAGTTTCAATCTGTCTCTACAAATCAGAGAGTTCCCTGGGTTCTGTTTGGAATCTGCTTCCCTACTCCTTAAATTGGTAATTGCCTCCAGGCAATAAATTGGCATAATCAAAAGCCTCACCTCATTTGTTTTTCTTCTCTCAGGGATCACAATCTCATGTTGCTTGTTTCCAATGTTTGAAGATTGTCATTTAATATATTTTTTTCATGTTCTAGTTGTTGAAGATAATAAGGTAAATCCAGTCTGTTACTCTATCATAACTAGAATCAGAAATCACAAATTGGAATATATTTTTTATACAATTATATTTTTTGCAGATTTATTTTTCTTGTGTATAACTTGTAATAGCAAGAAAAAATGGTTCTAATATTTATATTAGAAGTAACATTTTTAGGTCATATTAGCACAGCCAAATTTATCCAGGGGAACATAATCCTTATCCAAATAACAATGCACAGACAATTTATGTAACCAAAGCATTTATACAACCATAATATTCAGGAAAAAAAGTTAAAAAACCCAAAACAACACATTGTATGCCTGTATCAAAACACATGTACCTTACAAACATATAGAACAATTATGTGGCCTTAATAATTAAAAAAAATTTTAAAGAAATATAAGTCATTGTTATTGGCAGTTGATGTATAAATGTTAATGGCAGGAGAAGTTATGAGTTGAAGAATTGTCTCATATAATTTCCCAAATAAAATATTCCCATGGCTAGAGTAAAAAAAAAAAAATTACTTTTTTTATTCCAACTTACAATGTTATTTGAAATGTCTTGTGCATTCCATTTTTCTAATGACTTACAAACCCAATTTATGAAATCAAATAAGTTGAAGAGTCCCTTGAAGTTGTTATTTGATATTTTAAAAGTTCTCTGGTTAACAAATCTATCACCCTTATTTAAACATATTAGCATAGGTATAGTGATCATCACACCAGAATTTTTTAAACTATGAAACACCTCTGGAATATGTAATATTATAGGAATAATATATTTATCATTCAATAGTGATTCATTTTTTTCACAAAAATGTCTTTCTTAGATAGATTTATTTATTTTCACATTCATTCATTTATTCATTCTTCAATCACTGTTTGTTTATTTACTATGTGGTGCATAGTGCCAGAGAGTGCAAAAATAATACAACATCTGTGAATTTAATTTATATCACTTCTTTCACTTTTCATTTTAAATCTTTTATGTTGTCAATGATCATAGTGGCCGCATAATTTGAAAATAGTGAAAACAATGTAAACGTGTAGTTCTCCCTCTTCTTTCTACATGGCTGGTTCTGATTTCTCCCTTCTTCAGTGTCAGAGTATGTTGCAAAAGTTTTGGGTCCTATGGCCTTCCAGTTACTTTCATTTCTTAAAATTTCTTGTTTCTCACTGTGGGCTTGTAGTGGTCAGAAGTAATGTCAAGATTCAGTTATGATAGTAGAAATATGAACAAACACCATTTACGTTACCCACTCAATGGGCTGTTCCTTCATGATAGATACTGATAGTTGTTGAAGATGGTTCTGATAAATGTGGAAATTCTAGCACCAGTAGGTGTGGATAGCAGGCAGATGGAGGGGGTCATCTCAAGTGAATTCTTCAAGTACTATTTCCTAATCCAAGGATATAGAGTGTAGGAATTATTTGCTAATTTTGTTAGTATTTCCTGTCTCTTAGTGGTTCTTGAAAGTTATTTCTTTGCATCTATAAGAGGATCTTTCCTCAGGAATCAGTTCTGCCTATATCCTCAGCACTTTCTAGTCTCTGACATTCTTCCTGACCAAGACTCCTTAATCTCCCAACCCCTGCTCTTTGTAAGACAATAGAGAAATCTCTTGATCTGGTTTACATCTGGAATTTTGCTTTACTTTCAAACCTTATTACATACTGTTTTATCTATTTAAGGCTGCAGGTCAGGAACAGGACAATATACATTTTAATCTAGTGTGTGGTAAAGATATGTGCTTATCATCCACATGAGTGTGTTGTGACTTGAGTAATAATTTCCTGTTAGAATTCAAATAAAAAAATTTGAAATTTCAGTGTGTTAAATATAATATTTTTGCTGCTATTGCTTTATAGTACCAAAAACTTTAATCTCTATACTTCATACATTTGTTGCATGCCTATTATATGTCAGGAATTGTCTCACTTTTGGGAATACAATAATGAACAAACCACACATAATTAGACATATAAAAGGAGTTCATTTATTAGTTATTGAATGAAAACAATAAATACATAAGTGAATGCAGAGTTTAGAAGACTTGACAATGCTATTTGTGGGGGAAAAAACAGTTTCTGTTCTGCTCCACATGCACACCCTAAAATAATCATATTTAGGAGAATAACAATATGGAATTTCTAAATTTTAAAATAAGTTCACTCTAAGGAGCCCCTATAGTTTAGTTGCCACGTAGCATCAGTGAGAATCAGAGCACTTTTCCTATGCAAACACTTTTACCAACATAAGGTTGATAAAATTTCAGAATTAAAATAAAGTGCAACTTTAAACAACTGTTAAATTTGGTATTATAAAAAAGATTATTTGCCCGGGCTTAGTAGGATCAATGATGTGCTTGAAGAAGTATCTTGCTGTACCTCCAGTTAAGTGCAATGCTGTAAAGGTCCCCAGAACAAAATTGATGTATCTGAGATGTTATCCAGGATGTACTCTTATGCTATTTTTGCAAGCTGCTTTCATCATACTCAGAAGGATTTGTCAAGATGCTTACCTGTTGTGAAATGCAACATGATTTCTTGAGGGTGCAATCTAAAGCTGAGTTATGTCGTCTCCTCCTTAGCACTGCTATATCAGTGCCTATGAGATTGTAATTCCTTCTGGCTACTCTTTATTCAGTGGTTGCTGTACAAAATGGGGGACAAAACAAATGTATGTCATGCTCTAAGACTACCGTATGTCACATGTATTAACAAAGAGTTAAAAAAAGAAAATGTACAGAATGTTTCTTTCCCTATAAACTCTTCTATCATAAGTCTTAAATACAATTTTCATTTTTGGCTCTTTTAAGTTGAAGCACAGAAATCTACTTCTCTTATTTTTTACATATAGTAAGCCGATTTACCTTAAGGAGTTTAAAGTCATGAAGTTAATGCCTTCTTATTAACATTAAACATTTTAAAATGGAAAATCATTCAGTTTCCACAATAAATTACCTACAAATAGTCTGGTGTACCATTCTTATTTTATATTCTTTTATAAAATATGCTTTTGGTATATAAATACATGCCAGATAAGAAGTGTTAAAGAAAATGTAGTTAACTCTCAAATATATAGAAATTATTGGTCAGGAAAAGAGGGGTTGCCTTTTTAAAAGAATGTAGCTATGGTGGAGGGGTCGAAATTTTGCCTGTATTGTCAGTTTGTGGAATATCCACATGTTAATCAAAAAACCAATTGCAAAATTATTATTCTAGGTTTATACAGAATTAGACTATAAGTGATTCTTCTCAATATTTGCGAATTTTGATTGCCTGTTTTCAAGGAAGTCCTGAATTTCCAAAAGTAATTTTCTTTTAATAAACTAGATTTTATATCTAAGAAAGTGATGAGAAATCTGTGACATGCCAGCATTTGTAAATAGTCAATGCATAAAATTTGATATCGTATCATAACTATGTGCATTTCTATTTCATTGATGAAATAGAAAGCATTTTGGGATGATGTTGCTGGCACATAAGCAAGTACTGCCCAGCATTAAAAGTTGTCGCATTTCTGGATGGTAAATGAAATTAGGCTAATATTTGAAAAAATAAGGGGATAGGTAATGTAAAACAGGTTCAATACATTATCCCCATCCTCACTTGCTTTCCTTTCAAATGCATTCTGCTCCTTTCATTCTCTTTATTCTTCCATTCCCCATCCCTACTGGCTCTCTTTACTTCTTACTTCCCTTATCTCTCCTCCCCTTTCCCTCTGCATTGAAGTACACTACTTTGAAACATACCTTGTTCTTATCTTATCTTTTATCTTTTCTTTCTCACAGCTCTTTTCTATTGCATGTTGACTAAGTTTCATGGGAATCTTTATTTGTTGCAGAACTCTAAATATACCTGCCTACGGGATGCAGTCTCTCCATATAAACATACATATAGCAGGAGATATGAATGCCCAGTCCAGGACTGCAGGGTGGGATTGGTAAAAGTAAAGATATTGGTCAGTCATTTTGTGAGCTAGCAGATATAAATAAGCTTTACTCACAATGAGTTTTCTTCATATGGGATAAATTTATTGCAATAGTTTTCTCTTGTGTCTGTTGTAATCCATTTCAAACACGCATCTCAATGTGAGATGACTCTCTCCATTCCATTGCTTTTCTTTTCTTAAGCATGCCTACATTCTTTTTTATTCATCTGTGCCTGAGGTCAATGATCCACATATCCCTCTTCTTGCTTCTGGCTATGTGTACTTTTTTATGTAGGCTGTTATTGATTTTATTCCCTTATTGTTTTTTCATCTCCATTGTTGACGTTGGTGTTTTATAAGAATGACTATATTAATCATAATTCTAAACATTTAATATCTCATATTGTGGCCCAAACATATTAATTTAAGCTCTGTGTTCACTCTTGACTTTCATATTGAACATTGGCATTAGGACCTTAAAGTGGAATCCAGAATATGAAAGTATAAAACTATTAACTTTTTGATATCAACAATCTCATTATTTATTGCCATTTATTTTTATTTATTACTCAAGAAAAAAAAAATCTATCATTGCTCCACGCCAGCTTTAAGTGCAGTAGCAGATTTAAAGATGAATTCAGACTTCAGACTTCAGCTTTCCCCCGAGGCTGATGGACTTCTTCTTTCAAAGTAGGACACTTCTATCTGATGGCATTAACCATAAAATCCCCCATTTCAAGTCTATGATATCCTGAAGGACAACGGCTCATTTCATTTCTTATCAAGAAATCGGGCAGATCAGTCATATTTCCCGAATCAAATGACATTTCAGAAAATTCATTTGAACCAAAAATGAGGTTTCTTCTCTGCAGATGCCAATTAGTTTAAAAGTGGTTTCTGATGAAAATTTTCAAAATAACTGAGTGGCTCATAAAAAAATCCATATTTGCATGCATATGACTATACCAGCTCATATTTCATACACACACACCCATATACATGCATGTATACACACATCCATCCGCACGCACACACACACAAAGGTTCCCCAAGTGCTACAGCTAGCCACCCTGTCATGCAGTATAAATCTTTAATTTTAGTGATCCACATTAATAGTAAAATACTTAAGATCTTTTTTCCCTCCTTTTTTTTTTTTATCCCATTACCCTGGGTATTCCAGTGGGAGTGTACTTGCTCATTTGCTCCCTAAGTACACAAAATTAGCTGCTTATCGGTTGATCTTCTTACATGATCCTTTAAAAACCCTTTGTGTGTGTGTACAGGCACCTATGCAGCATCCAAGGCCGCTTTTGCCTTTAGAGGAAGCCTAGACAAGCCACCCCCAGCCTTTTTCTTACCCATTCACACTGGGCTCAAGCCTAATTAAATTGCTCTCAAAGACAAGAAGGGATGAATTTTCTTCTTTCCATCTCCCTTGTCACCCATTTAACTCAGCTGACATTCACTGACTCCTTTTTACTTATGTTCAAAAAAAAAAAATATGCACACACACACAAGCCCCATAAAGACAGGGTTTAGAGAGCTGGGAGAAGGAGGGAGGGACAGTGTTCGTGGATAAACTCTTAATCTGGTTAGTCCGTGTGATTTATAATTTCAGAAACAAACAATAGAAATGAGATAGAGAGAAAGTGCCAGAGGAGAGGTTTGATTTTTCTCTCTGGCTTCGATTTTATTCCATTAAACTAACACTGAAGAAGACTGAAACACACAACACGCACAGACACACAAACATACACCTCAGTGCTTCTGGTCGGTCTGTACTCCTCTGCTTCTTTTTCTTTTCCTTGGATTAATCTGATTAATGAGGGAGGGTTCAGGAACTAGGATGAGCAGAGCCTGTTAATGTAGCTCTGCTCAAGAGGGGCAGAAGGGAGCTGCAGCCACTTCGGCCGGCCTGCTATTGATTGGACTGGAGGTCACCCGGGAGCAGTGCTGCATTTCTGAAGCTGGGGTTCAGGGAGGGGCTGGAGAGCTTTGGTTAGGCCGGACAACAGGAGCCCTGTGCAAGTCAAGCTCCAGTAAGGGCCTGGGAAGAGCCAGGCAATTAGCCTTTGAAGGTCATGGCAAGTTCCCTCCCCCTCTGCTCTCTTTTCACCACAGTATCCAGCCTTCCTTCCCTCCTCCTCCTTTCTTCATCACCCATACTCCAAACACATCTGAGGAATCCATTCAATTAAATCTCTCTCGGCTCCAGCTGGCTCCTGAGTGAAAGGTCAGTAGAGTCCAGGAAAGAGAAAAAGACACGAGGAGGAGCTAGAGCTTGTGGCTGCCTCTGACCCTGCCTTTCTGCGGCTCTCTCCGCACCCCTACGCCTTGCCCAAGCTCTGGGCTGCCCACTTCCTTCCTACCTACCATATTTAATGATACCCAATGCTCAATCGCTCCCTAGCAGTGAGAGACATGCCCTGAAGCATCATTGTGGTAGGGAGGGATCGATCAGGTTTAAGGGGAAAAAAAATAATAATGATAACCCGCGGACATAATGTCAGTTTGTTTGCTGTGCTTCTTGGAGGCCTATCACTGTTTGCCTGGGCAGCCAAGCTGCTTGGGGGTGCTGTGTAGTCCTTGGTATTTTTCCCTTCCCGCATTTTGCATTTTGTCTTGCCTTAAAGAGACCTAATTAGACTGAGGCATACTCTGATGGTTTGTCTGTTTGCTGGCCTGCTTGGCTCTATAAATAGTATAGAAGAGAAAAAGTAAAGATGACTGATTCTGTTTCTGCAAAGCTTATGTTTCAAGTTAACCAAGAAACAGCATATTTAAATATCTGTGCTAATAAGAAAATCGTATTTTGTTTGAAGGATTCAGCTAGGCATATACAGAGTTTTTTTTTTTTTAATCATATTATAGCTGTATGGTTTAAATTATAAAGATTAACAAAATAATTTAATGAAAGGTTTTACTCAAGGAAAAGAGTTCAGAATGAGAAAGTTTGCAGAAATACATATATACACATTCATACTTATACAACAATGTGTTTTTTCTTCTTCTTCTTCTTTTTTTTTTTTTTAGGAAAGACCATGATCTTAGAGTAATTATTTGCTCTCATTATCTGCCAAATATTTATTTAAAATAAAGTGGAAGTTAATATGAACACAGGGCTATCATTAATAACAATTTGAACAAGGTGTAGTCTTTTCCTCACATTACTTAGAATTTGTCACATTGACGATTTAGCCATAAATATTTTATATTATGTTATTACTCCTGTATATTTTAAAAAACTTGATGGTCTTACTGTGTCCATACACTTCTAGTCTATTTATATTCTCAAGGCCCTGTACTTTTTTCTTTTTTTATAAAGAGTGCGGATACAGATTCTAACACAACTAATATCTTACTTGCAATCAGATTTTTTTGTTGTCACATTATTTTCTGCATCATTTGGTGAACCAAACTACATTTTCCTATATTCCTATTAAACTATTTGATGATGCTTTTTATTTTGTTGTATAATTGGGTGAGCAATCATGTGATAAACATAAGTTTGGTATGAAATCAAAGAAGCAATGTTAAAAACAATGAATATATCTTCAGGAAATTTTCTAAGATGTTAAATCTTTTGGAAAGAAGGATTGTAGAAACAATATTACTTCTTTGTAGATTTTATGACCACAAAGATAAAACTTGCAAAGATATCTAGTATAGTTAATGTACGATAGTTTTCTTTTATAACCTAATGCTATGATTTTTGAAAT